TGAATAAACATTGTTTTTCATGAGCATTGATTTTTACATTTATCAGGAAAAATATTGGACGCATATTTTTCGATATTTTTTGTGATCTCGAGCGTGGGATCTAGTTAGGTATCCTATAGAAGGGAATGACGATAAGCATCTCGTGATAAATCGTTGAACAACGTTTATCCCGCTCGTTACCGACACGAGAGGCGGTGACTCGGCCAACTGCACCCTGTACGTGTGCAATGAATCTTCCTCGAACCAAATCGAATCGACACGTCACCCCCTACACTACACCATTCTCATATATACTCACTTTGAGAGTAGTCGCACCCTCATTTTCAAAAATTGGATTCATACGTAAATTAAATTCCGCTTGAGCCAACTGTGAACCTACTAGTTGGACATTGTTGTAGATTTGTTAGTGTAGGACCCTACTCGCCGCTTCTCTACATTCATGCATTCACTTCTAGTTTAACAATCAGCTCTGATTTGCAGTGAAAAAAAATATTTCAATTACCAACTCTGTCATTTACGAGGCACTATTTTTATTTCAGCTATAAAAAGAAATATATTGTTTTAATAAATATATATTTCTTTTTTAATTTATCCTATTATTCATGTTGATGTAAATTGTAGAGACTCTCTACCAGAAAGGAACTATATACATATGTAATAAGCTAGTGTTAGTGTTTTCAATATGGCGAAAGACCTCATAGAAAGTCGTTTGTTAGTGTTCAATAAAATTGCGAAAACTATAAAAAAAAAGATATAATACGGTTTATGAATTATTGTAACCAGATCCTTTATTATAAAAGGAATCTATTGATATTTTACATGAATTGTAAAAAGAATTTTTATTTGTAATAATATTGAATCAGAGCTTATTCAGGAAAATATATTAATGTATCAACTTTAGGAAAGACTTTAGAAAGATTAGGAAGTTGTAATGGAGTTGATTTCTGAAATTCAATATATTGTAATATCTTTAAGTCTTGAAGCATACAGATAAGTTTTTGAAAAAAAAACATGCATGCATGGAAATTTTTTTATTATTGAAATACTTTGTTATTGGAATTTAAAGAAAATACTTAACCTAATGTAAATCTTTGATATTGTAACAATAAGTACCTAATTTAGAAGTAATTTTTGTAAGCCTATTATGGACCTGATAAACACTTCCTAATAAATGACTAACTAAGATATCGTTTCAGTTTAGTTCAGAAGGTTGTGATTGGAAAATTATTGGGTACCCGAGTAAAAATGATCAGTTTTTGAGCACGCCCAAAAGAGGTTCGATTCAAGCCTGAATCATTTTTCAGGTTCATTGAAAATATTTTTGGGCAATGGAAATTTCTCTAAATCAAGATTGGGCTTCTTTTGGGTCTATTTATTTTTTTCGAATAGTGCAAAATCTTATTTCATTCTATAAACAAATTGATCAGGCATAGGTTGGGAATGTCTAATCTACGTTTATCCACTCAATTCCCAATAAGGGTTTAATAAATATTAAGGCATGCTCAAAATGAACTCTACTCGGATATGAGTACGTATGTTAGAATATTGTTGGCAATAACATCTCGAAGATAGATAAAGGTATTGACTCTGATCTTACGTTTCTTGAAAGATAGCAAGGTAAATATGCAGATTAACCTATACATTCTCAATTTCGGAGAGAACGATGATTATCAAACTGCATTTAAATTTAGGTCATAAGAAGGACGGCGAAACGCAGAAAGTCACGAGATAAGTACCGGTACGAAACATGGAAAATAAGATACAAGTGTGGAATAAATTGAGTGCACTTATCATCCTTACCATGGTAGAGTGTTCTAATGCGTAAGTAGGTAGATTTAGGTTTGATTCCTGGTCTTAGGAATATGCTTTTTTCGGAAAGTAAACTTGTAGAAGCTGTAAAAAAACTGCAAAAATGCGAGGAGGAGGAGGGTGTGTGGTCTAGAATGCAATAATTATTGATAATTCTCTAAAGAAGATCTGAAAAAAAATTTAACCCAAGTCGGTCAAGTTATTTTTTATAACAAAAAAAATGATAAAATAAATCAAGTAGAAATATGAATGCTAGTTTATCCAGCTCAATGTCTGAATGTTGACAGGATGTGAGAATATTTCTCTTTCAAAAAAGAAAGGATAAATTTTTTATTTAAATATATCATGAATATTTTGTCGTACAATTATTTCATATTATTTATGAAAGAAAAAATTTGTTACAAACAATAGGAAATAGTTTTGTGTTTTATCGAAGTTATTGAGAGATTTCTTTCATAGAAAGTTGGTCGTGTGAGCACAAAGTGCACTCAAGCCTCGTTTTATTTTTATTCTCAAAATGTCTGAAGAAAACAAATTTATATGTTTGAAATTTAAAAGGTTTCTGTTAGATTCTTTTAGCATCTAACAGAATATTCCATGTATTATTTAATTAACAACTAACACTGTCACAAACCTTTGCACATTTTTTCTCAAGATTTTACGACTCCAAACTTTCTTTTTTGCTCTAAAAGTCACAGCCATCTTCCATTCATTCTCCTACTAAATTCGCTGTCTAATATTTCTCTAAAACAGGACCTTTTCTAAGAGGCATTAGTTTAAATTAGAGTTTATTCAAGTCCTGTTAAAGCCAACTACTCTAAGAACTAAATTTGTATTGATTTGAATCTCATAATTAAGTCTGCTTTGTCAGATTTACCAACATAGAAGAAATTTTGTAGGAATTTTTACTAGTCAATTTAGAGTAAAATTTACTAGCCAAAAAAATTGAAAATTACTAGATTTTTTAAATAAGAATATTTAATTAACTTAGAAAAAAGTACTTTTCTGGTTGGTAAAAATTACCAATTCTCTTACACAGTAAACCTTAGTAAGATACCATTTTTTTTAATGATGAAAATGTTCAATTTTTTAAAGTTTACTTTCAATATTGTGTACTTGATTACTTGATAAGTGATTTTAAGAATAGTTTTGTTCATATAACTTTGATGATTACTTAATAAAAAGAGGTACAAACGATAATATGTGAAAAAGGTCAATTTTAAAAGAAATTGTTGTTATTTTGAATTGTAAAAACATGAAAAATTAACATTTTTGCATAAGTTTTTTTTTCCAACTTGTTTGTTTTTTTGGGTAGATTATAAAAAAAATATGAAAACTTCATTCGATTACTTGTAAAAAAGTTATCAACAATTATACGTGAGTAAGTGCCTTTTCATGAACATTTAAAACCCTGAAACCAGTATGAGTTGTCATTTTTTTTTATTCTCGTAATTTTTTTCGTAAAGTTGCCATAATAATGAAGATTTTTTTTAGAAAACCACTCAAAAAGAGTCTCTCCTTTTCTAGAGTCAAAAAACGAGGAGACCGCGATAGTGTAAAATTACCAAAAATAGTAAAAAGTCCCTATGTTGGTAGGTAAAAATTTCTAGAAAAAAATTTAAGAATTTTAGAAATTTACTTTCTATCCAATCTATCCATTGAAACACTTCTACTGACATTGAATATTAAAAAGAAATTAAATTTCTACAATTATAAATATTTTTCTAGAAATTTTTACCTACCAACATAGGGACTTTTTACTATTTTTGGTAATTTTTATGAACCAGAATAGTACTTTTTTTCAAGTTAATTAAATATTCTTATTTAAAAAAACTAGTAATTTTTAATTTTTTTGGCTAGTAACTTTTACTCTAAATTGACTATCAAAAATTCCTAGAAAATTGTTTCCTTTAAAGTCTTGGTAATCGCTAAACATGCTTAAACGTTTTTTTTTGCTACAAGATATCAATGTTCAAGTATCACTCCTACACCAAAAAAAAAGTTCTACTAATTTTTAATTTCTTCTTCAATTAATTTTCAATGTTTATAAATCTAAATATTATTTAGCGCTACCATATTTTTCCAATTCAGATTAAATATAAATTAAATATTTATTTATTAAGTCAGTTTTATTTAATTCCTTTTTTTATTAAATACTGAATTTTTTTTTTTTAATTTTTAAAAAAAATTTTTTTTCTCCGGAGGGTTTATTTCACCTAGACTTCCTTTATCATTTATACATTACATTAATTACAGAGAAAATTCTGGAAAATTTTTTTAATGAATATATTAGGAAGCTGATAAAAAAAATTATTCTGTAAATGCAGGAACAAAAACAACCTTAGACAATTTTATATATGAAAAATGAAGAAAAAAGAGCATTACCGTACTCATAAGGGTCTTCATAGAGTGCCATACGGTACACAATATGCATGTGGTTACGTAAAAAAAAATAAGAAAAAAAAAACAAGCACGTCAGAACAAAGGAGAAAAAATTATGCAATAGAAAAAATGATTATGTGATGTAGATACATGAAGGAGTGGGCACGAATAAAGTAGGACATTGTGAGCGACAGGTTGAAAACCACGAGTGATTCTAGGTTGAATACCCAATGTTGACGCAACAACGCATCCTGATGGACAGTAGGACACTTGTGACATACGCGAGAGGGTTCTCGTAGTCGGTTTTATAAATGAAGATTCCATTTCGTGGTTGAGCGCACCACATTTTTATGCATACATATTTTGCATGGTGATCTAAAGGGTTGCTTCATTTATCTGGCACTTCTTTACCAAACATTAAACTCACTCGACTTGATTGATAAAAAATAAAATAGCATATTTATCACTTTACTTATAAAAGAATAAAATTAATTTATATTTATTTTTAACGATAAAAAAGTGCAAGTAAAATCTGTGATTTAAAAAATGACCGCAAAAAATGTAATAAAAAATAATGAAAGCTTGAAGGTAGATGTTGAGTAAAAAAGCATATAGTGTATATATACATAAAGTAAGGGTACTAAAGGAGATTCATCTACAACAGTCATCCCTTGCGATTAGCTTTAGTTGATAAGGGATACAAAGAGAGCCGCCTTTTGCCACAACACTATCTCACGGCGAATTATTGATTAATCGATTTTCTACTCACCTCTACAACCCTCTGACATGCTTCTTGCATCTTCTTTCAGGAATGGAATGACTATAAGCTCAAGTGGAACCCTGAAGAGTACGGAGGAGTGGATACTATTCACGTGCCATCTGAACACATATGGTTGCCTGATATTGTGCTTTACAACAAGTAAGTGCCTACTTCATTAATTATTTACCCATAAATTAACTACAAAATCATCTAGTGGCAATTTACTTTTTTTTTCTTCCGGAGGTTTGATCATTAACAGTAATATTATGTTGGAAACAATAATGTGACTTTTGTGATTTAAATGTGTAACGAGAATGCACTTGGATTTAAGGTGCAAGCCTGTACAATGTTTAATGTCTTTAACAAACTATACATTTTTCACACACTCAACAAGTGTAAACAATGTCCACAAAATATGTATAGTTTGTTTATAGACATTCTACATAATACGTTTGTGAAATCTTGGATTTGTAATGAACTGATAATTAATTTAATATTAAAGAGGATCTTGCATTAAATCAAATTAAAGATTAATATATGAAAATTCAAAAAGTGATAGCTAATAATTCAAAGAAATTAAGTTCGCTTTATCAATCAATTTTACCATTTAATTTAGCAATAATAAATGTATAAAGTGGAGTTAAAAGTGAGGTTAAACACTAAACCCAATGGCACAAGTAAATTCAGATTTATTGTAAACAAAACGATCAAAAGTTTCATAATTTTGTAATAAATCAATTTTAATTGTTAAGTTTTATTTAAATATTGTCATTTATCTTTAAATCAAATTTTAAAATAGGTTTTTCCTATACTATACTATTAGTCGTTCAAGAACCTTCCAAAAACGAACGAATGACGGCTATTTTATTTACCAACCGAGATACTGTTGTTTTTTTCGTACAAACAAAGGATGATAAAGAGTTTTAAATATTTCATTATTAATTAGAATTTATATTTTACGGTGGAAAATTAAAATTTACTCACAAAAAAATTGTGAGGTTAGTTCACCATATTAACATAGGAAAGAGAGGGTAATATGAATCAACCGTTATAAATGTGTTTCATTTTGATAATCTCATTTCAAGACAATCTCATAAAAGCTTGTATTGCTAGAATAGCAATACTTCACTTGCTCATATGGTTCAGATAATTGTGGTATTTATCTAGATAAAGCTATCTAGATAATAAAGGCACAAAAATTGCTGCGACAGCAAATCTGTTTCAGCTATACTTTGGATTCTTATTACAATTATTTTTTTTTTCAAGTTATTTGAAATCATTGATTTTAATTATTAATTATGTTTCGACTAACCAGTTAATTTACGAATAATTAAAAATAAATTTTCGATTTAAGCAAAGATTTAAATAATTTTTTAATCTTCTATTTATTGTAAGGAAATTAAATATAGCACGACGTTGAATTTTTTTTTTGTAGAAGAAAAAATTTTCTAAATGCAGCTAAAAATCTGTACCAAAATAAATCCTCTCATAACGTTGGTATGAAATAACGACTGTGTATAAGCCCACATAGCATCGAAACTTTGAGTGTCAATATCTCTAAAACTAAGCGAGATATCGAAAAATTTTATTCTTTATTTTCGTTTTATTTTGGGCTGTTTTATCAATATTCATCGTCAAATCATGACGCCATGAATACTGTAGGCATCTCGTTATTACTATAAAACAAATACGATCAGTGTATGATAGTTTTTTTTTTATTCATATACTCGGGTATTGTAACAAAGTCAAAGTTAGTTCAAAAATCTCTCTTAGTAATTTAAAACATTCTGTAGGTAAACAATGATTTTTATAAAAACTTTAAATTGCAGAAAAAAAGACATTTACACCTATTTATAGCTGACAAATTGCTGAAAATTATTTAACTCATGCAGTTTATAATATTCATTTGAATAGAATCCCGACGCAAGTTTCCAAGAGTTGTAAAACGTTTTTTATTTATACTTGATAGAATAATTCAGAGTTCAAATAAATTTTTAATTTAGATATAAAGCTTCTTTTTTGCTGCTTTTACAGTAAATCTCGAGAGACTCATAGTGTAGTGTCACACCCAAAACCAATTCAGCCGATTAAACTTCAACTCAAGCGTGAAACATTCATTCATCGCACATCAGAATATTTCAGAATGATTTTCACCACTTTTCCTCATTAAATTTTAGTATACATCATCATACCATTTATTCGTACATTTTGTAGATCTCAGATTAAGATTTAAAATTGAGAACGAATCAGTCGTAGTGGTGAATACTCTCGTTTTCACATTTTTTTTTTGCTTTCTTCATAAAAAGCATGCTACCTGATATTCCTATTTTAAGTTTTGAGTTTCTTCCTCTCTTGCATTCGCAGCTTTTACTACGCGAGAAAAGTGTATCGACGAGAAAGTGGATGCAGGAAAAAAAGAGGGAAAAGGATAAAAAAGAAACTAAGAGAGATGGAAAAAGAAAGAGGTCGCGCCGTTGCCATGTCGACGTCTCAGCGACAATCGAGTTTTGGTAATCCGAGTAAAGGAAAGAAGAAAGATATTGCATCTACTATTTTTTTTTAATTTTATTTTTATAGAATGCGGGAGAGGAGAAATAAACTTGTCAAGTCTTAAAGACGATCTAATATTATCAAGTAATGGAAATTAAAATACCTGAGGGAGATGCAAAAGCTGTACTAATCCAAAATTTATTTCTATATTTAACATAGTAGTATAATGAAAAAATTAACATTTTGATGAAATTATTTAAAAAATCATTCACTTCGAACTCATAAAGTTTTATAGTCTAAAGTAGTTTTTACTGCACCTGAGAACGTTAAGGTGACAAATCTTGACCTCTGGCAAATAGAGGTAGTACAGTTGAGTCGTGTTATGAGACTGTCACGTTCGAGTTTGACTGGAGAGCTTGCCTCAACATATGCACTAAAAAAGGTTTCCTTCATTTCTCTAATATCAGACTGAACTAAAAGTTTGAATTCACTGTAACAAAAATGAATACAGATTTTTTTAAAATCCTTTTAGCGATAATAACAATAATATTTCTGAAAAATATTGAAAATGAGTTTGACAAAAGGATGAATCTAATATAAATAATCAAATTGCTTTGTTAATTTGAATATAATTCTTTTCGAGGGGTACGTCCACTTTTTGGTGATTAAACACTTATAGACAACTCCACGACTACCCGAGTTAAAATAAATAGACCCAAAAGAAGCTCTAAATGAAAAAAAAGCCCAATACAGACCCGATTAAAACCCAATCTTGATTTAGACAAATTTTCAGTGCTCAAAACAAGCCCATTTCGAAGGAGCCGAATTAGGATTCAAGCCCAAACATTATTTTCAGGCCTAAAACACGCCCAATTCGAGCCCAAAAGTCTTTTACAAGCTCACAACGAGCTGAATTCAAGCCTAAAAATATTTTCAGTGAGCCTAAAAAATGATTTGGGCTTGAATTGGGCCTCCTTTGGGCGCGTCCAACGACTGATCATTTTTACTTGGGTAGTTCAGGATGATTCTTTGCGAAAAATATATTCTGTCAAGACTGGGACTCGAACTTGGACCTTCCAGTTACGCGATTAATAAGCTTTCTTGCCAATCAATATAATTCGCTTCAAATTGTGCCTGTATTTGTCATATGTGACTTCCCCCTTTGGGGGTCCCTCATATGGCCTAAATAAATTTATTCACTATTTTAGTGGAACCCAGCACAAATAATTTATTCTTGGAGGTGTCCCCAGAACGGAACTCTACTCTTTAATTGTTCTAAAAAATTCAATTTAAACATTTATTTGTCTTTTAAACATTTTAATTAGACTAATGTAATAAGTGCCTAATTTTTTGAATAAATACTTATGTAGCACGTAAAATTAGTCAATTTTATGAAGTTGTAATTAAGTAGTAGTTAGATAATTTGAAATTGGTTAAATCTTATGTTATCTTAAACAAAAATTTATCAAGCATAGGTTAGGATTGTCTAATTTGCACTTACTTACATAAGGTCAATGTCTCAATCGTCGCTCGTGAACCTATTCTCGTTCAGTAAATTTTATTTGGTAATCAAAAAATATTTTTCTGCAAAATGTTGATCAAAAAAAATATTTTGGTATCTTTGTATTAACTCATGAATATTCAACCATTGAAGAATATAATCATGTATCCTTTATAGAAGAAAAAATTAATTTTAAGTTTATTGAGCGAGAATAGGTTGATGAGCAACAATTGGGACAGTAACCTTAATGGCAACAAGAGCTCCATAGCGATGTAGAAATGTCTAAAATAAATTCTACCTAAGACTATGGCAAGATATTTTATTTTCCATTCTTCTCTCAGTGCAAGTGACGTATCCGAATTTTTTAAATCCCAATAGCATTGCTCATAACAGAATTTGGCATGTCGAAGACATTTTTGATCAGACATTCAAAGATTTTTCGTAAGCTTAACACCTTTAGCCATGTTTTAGTATCATCTGCGTGCCAGAGTTTCTTTAAAGAGTCTATAACCGAAAAAAAATCGGACTTTGTTAACTCTATGTGAATTTTGGCGATCAGCTTTTATTCTCCCACTTTTTTATCTTTAATATATAGATATACTCAGTCAGTATTTAAAATTCCATCGTTCGTAATGTACAAAAATAATAACGCAATCATAGTTTTATATGTAATTGTAATTTGTTGAATAAAAAAATTAAGTTATTGACAATTCAATTATATTTGTATGTTGGGTGCAACCAGTTCCCCACAAAATATGGCACTGTAACGCCATCTACACTCTCATGACTAGACGTACGTTATTTTTTATTTTCGTTACATAATAGTCAATATTTGGTTCTATTCGTGAATTTACAAAAACACAAAGTAAATTCTCCTTTTCCTTATCAAATAACACATTGTTGTTAAAACAAAGATTGTATTTATTGTACTCTAAATCTAAATTATGTTAAAATAATACACCTTGCGTGTCTTCAATGTTTAACTGTTATACACAAACTGTAGAGTCTGGTAGTCATTTTCATCACCCTTCAGAGTGTATTAAAATCTATAGTGTGTTTACGGAGCTTAGCATTGAACGTATGTCTATATATTTACGGTAACATAATTTGAATTTGCAGTGTACTTCAACACAGTTAAGCAAGTAACAGTAAGTCTCAGGAAGATTTC